ATGGAAAATTTTCTCCTCAGCCATGGGGTATTTTGGGTGTGTTTTGTTTTAAGCAAAGTCCTCAGTCAATCAAAGGGGTTACAGAGTCGTGTTTTGGTAACTTAACCATGCTTAATGGCCGTGAATGCTGTCCTCTAAACAGTCCGAGCCAGCCTGCCACTGTTGCTTATCCATTTATCAACTTGAGGCTTTATGCACAGCCACGTGAGCTGTGCTGGCTTTTTATCTGCTTCCTGAGTGGAAAAATCTCCGTGCAGCTTGGTAAAGCTCAAGGGTGGCACTGTATCTGCTGCCTCTCCGGCCTCAGAAGAAGAAAGAAGCATTTGTGACTTCTGTTGCCGGGGCAGGATCCCCTGCCCTCTTCCTAGCCTGTCTCCATCTGCAAATTAGGAATGCGCTCTCTAAGCCAAGGGTGTTGGAAGGAATAAATATCAGGCAGCAAAGGAGTGACATCACCTCTCACAGAGGGGGCTCTGTGTGTCACTGGCTCCGTGCTGCCCGTCAGAGGGACTTTTCCCTGCGTGAAGGCTCACCCTCGTGTGCTTTTTCTGTTACGGCTTGTGGCTCCATTGGGTGTAATGTGTTCAGAGGCAGTATGGGGCTTTCTCTCATGTGAGAGATTGAGTGAAATATGGATCTGTCAAACACTGCTTTCTGTCAGTCCTGATGTCAGTGCTGATCTTCCCCCCCACCTTTTTTTTTTTTAATCTTTCCCTCTTGTACTTGAAACTCTTGTTCATTAGCTCAGTCTTATTCTGGCCTCACTTTCCCAAGAGTTTGAAGGCCTGGCTCTTCTCCTTTGTTGACTCTATCACCTCCTCAGAATGCATTTAGTGTTCCAAAAGGTCTTTATCTCTGCATTGTCTTCCTGGCGTGGTGAAGCGTCTTTGCTCTCTGTTTCACGCCCCTGTGCTGGTGTCTGTGATTGGTAGGTTAAGGACCTGTGATATCCATGAGTATGTGTGTAGAGTGTAACAGAATAGTCTGCATCTAGCGATGTGTAGCTGTGCCCTGAACGCTGACTTCCCCACCTACATCAGGTGGTCTCATTGTTGTTGGGTGCCGTCAAGCCGACTACAGCTCACAGTGGTCCTGTGAACAGTCGATCTAAGGATCGCTGTCTCCTGCACGGTCCTCAGGCCCTCTCACATCCTGAAGCTCGCTGTGGCGTAGTCACTGCTCTCCAGCAAGCCTTGGCACCTCTAGGCTCATGAACAGCACATTCTCTTCTGGTGCCTTTTCTTTGATAGGTCGAGCTTCTCCTCTGTCAGATATATTTCTTTCAGGGAGTAGCCTTTCTCTTTCCTGAAATGGAGCTGGTCCCTGGGTGGTGGGTTCACTCTCCCACAGCTCTCTGCCTGGCTGGAGTCAAGAGGCAAATGTTATGGTAATTACTTAGGACTGAAGAGGAAAGATGGCAGGCACAATTAAAATCAGTCACTGAACCCAAAAGCTGTTTCAAAAATAACCTCCATCTTCTGCTTGTAAACGATGGGCCTCTGCTTGACAGAGTCACTGTCAGGGCTTGGGGCCTGGAATTTCGACTGTTTATGCAAGTTCATTTTTGTTTTGGTTGTGATTTTCCTGTGGGAAATCATTGTAAACAGTTACATTTTCTGAAGCACCTCTACAATAATAAACATAAACACAATATTGCACTGAAAATCCATCGTGCAGTAACCCACAGTAACCCCTTGCATCGACTTTGAAGCAGATGAATGGATGCACCCATGAGTTCTGTCTAGAATTGGAGGTGGTGAAACTGGGAAGGCATCAGGCTGTCCTGGACTCAACTGTTGACATGCTCCATATTGCTGAGAACAAGGAAGTTGCTTAATGCTCCCCTTTGTCAGTTCTGAAGGAAGAGGAGCACCACCTGTTGGTTGCGTCTCAGGCTGCTCTGCAGGCTTACGACAGTATTAGACATAAGTTGACTTTGAGCTCATTGGAAGAAGCCAAAAATCCAGCCATCCCCACTGCCACTGAGTCAGTTCTGACTCCTCACGACCCTAGAGGACAGAGTAGAACTACCCCATGGGGACTCCTGGTCAGGAACCCTTAGCAGAGCAGGCTGCCACATCTTTCTCCCATGGATCAGCTCATGGATTCAGATTTCCAGCCGGTTAGTTGGCAGCCAAACACGTTAAACACCAGGACTCCTTCTCTCTGAGAGAAAGAGATTGTGTAACTACAAGGCATTGTTGTTGTTATGTGCCATTGAGTACAATATCCCTGAAACTTGGTCTGTCCTGCTCCATCCTTACTGTCTCTGGCACACCCACCCCCATTACCCCAGTCACTGAATCAATCCATCTCATCGAGGGTCTTCCTCTCTTGTGCTGTCCTTCCACCCTTCCAGTATGATGTCCCTCTCCAAGTATGATGTCCCTCTCTAAGGACTGGTCCCTCCTTGCAACATGCCGAGAGTATGTCAAATGAGGCCTCGGAGTCCTTGCCTCCAAGGAGCAGCCTGGTCTCACCCTCTCCGGTATGAACCTGATTGTTCTCCTGGCAGTCCATGGTATGTTCAATACTCTTCTCCAGCACCACAGCTCAAAGGCACCAATTCTCTTTCTGTCATCCTTAATCCTAGTCCAGCTTTCTGATGCATAGCAAGTGATTTCAAAGACCATGGCCTGGATCAGGTGCACCTTAGTCTCCAGACTGATATTATACTACTAAATTTTCAGGGGTTGTGATCCATCCTCAAATGCTGAAACATCCAGTCTTAGTTTGATAACTATTCTAGTCCAATCAGCATTCTCTTCACTGAGAAAAATATCTTGACTGTTGTCTGTTCTGGAAGGTGACAAGACTATGTCCAAGGCACGAAAGTAGCCACAGGAAGAGCTATGCTGCATTTACCAAAGAAACCAAGGGGTGAACTTTAGCTTAAGTTGTGACAAGGGGAAGCAGAACTCGTTGCCCTGCCTTGTTTCAAAGCCATTTCCTTGCACTGAAAATGTCAAAAGGCACTATACAGAATGAAGCACACGTAAGGAGTTCTGTGTAAAGAAGACTTAATTTTGTAAAAACGGTGTTGCCAGTGTGAGGCAGCCGAGTGTGACCTCCACTTACTACATGAGGAGGAGCAGTCCTCATCCACAGTATCCACGACCCAGACCTATCCCACGAGGTCAGACACGCCCCACACCTCTGCAGGGGCCCTCTCTCCACTGTGGTACCAGCCGTGCCTCCAAGCGCTCATACTGCTCTGCTGCTGATGGTGCTAATCCACTGCAGTGGCCACACAGTGCTCACCAACCATCCGCACATTTAGGGGATTTGTCGGGGAAGTTAACAGGTGACACAATTCAACTTAGAAACTGGATATAGTTTTTCAGTCAGAACAGCTTCATAGCTGTACTTGCAGGTCCCCTAACTTTCAGCCTCTTGGCTCCGGGTCAGTTCCACAGCTTTCTTAGTTCTGTCAATCATTGCATCCCTCTGCTCAGTCCTCCAGGAATCTTGGGTGGAGCCCCCAGCTCTGGCTCCAATTCAGCTCTGTCTCATTTGGAACTTGCCTTTGCAGCTACTGCTGCTTCTGCTGTTGCCCTGGTCTAGATCTTGGTGTGACTTGTGCCAGAAATCCCTGTAAAAATGGATATGCACTATGTTCTCTGCTGCTTGCTGATTGGTGATGAGATTTCCCATTTTTTGCCTCTAAATTTGTTCAGTTTAAGCCTAGCAGGATGGCAAGACTGACCAGATTCCTCGTTCGTGGTTGTGCATCTTATTGGCACTCAAAAGGTGCTGTTCACAGTTGCAACCAGAATATTCCGTGAAGGCAAAGATGATGAAGCTTCCTTACCCACATTTGGACATATTGTTAGGAGAGGCTATTCCTTGGCAAGGGGCATCATGTGTGGAAAGGCAGAGGGTTAGCAAAAGAGAGGAAGACCCTCAAAGACATGGATTGACACAGTGACTGCAGCAATGAACTTAACCATGTCAGGGATGATGAGGATGGCACAGATCTGTTGTTCGTAGGGTCACTATGAGTCACACTTGACTTGATGGCCCTTAACAACAACAACCCAGCCATGTGGTGAAAATCAAAGCCAGCAACTAGGAAAGATATTTTGAACAATCAATCAACTATGTTACAAATTTCTTAATAGGCCAGAATGGATTTGCATATTTTGGATGTTGGTGGTAATTGTTGTGGTTATTATGTGCCAGCAAGTCACCTGCAACTCATAGCAACCCTTTGTATAACAGATTTGAACCCTCTCTATCCTGAGCCAGTCTCATGGACTTTGACACACCTAATGCCATTGCCCCAATTATTCTGTCGGTTCGTCTCATCCAGAGTCTTCCTCTCCTGGCTGGCCCTCCACTGTCCTGAGCATGGCATCTTTCTCCAAGGATTGGTCCCTCCTGGCAACATACCCAAAGTATGTCAGATGTAGCTTCAAAATCCTTGCCTCCCCCAAGGAGATACTTGCGTTCACCCTCTCCAAGACATGTAATATGTGCCAATCTCTGGCTCACATATAAGTTACACTGACTTTACCAGAATATATTACAGGGAGTGTTGATGGTACAGTAATTAAGAGCTTATCTAATAACCAAAAGCTTGATGCGCCAAAGCCTTTCCATAGGGTAAAGGGCAATCTGCCTTGGAAGTCCTATGGGGCAGTTCTGCTTTATTCCATAGGATTTCCACGAGTTAGAAATTAACTTGATATTAACTTGAAAGCAGTAAATGTTGGTTGGAGCTGGTATACGTTATAGCAAAAATGTCCTATAACCTCAATTGGCTGCCTCACAACACTCCATAGCAGGGACTTTTGATCATTCCCTATTTTCCCAATGTGTAAATCAAACCCAGAGAGGCAACATTACTTGCCAGCGGTCACACGGCTGCTTCGTGGCACAACCAGTGAACCCCCGCTGTCTGGCCAAGGAGGAGAGGCTTCCATTTCTTTGACCAATCAGATTCTGGCTCATCAGGATCTCAGAAGCAGAAACTCACTGTGATAAATGCTGTTTTCTAGGAAGACAATGGAGACTACACGTATGTGGAGAGAGTGAAGATCCCTTTGGATCATGGGACCTTGTTAATCATGGAAGGGGCCACCCAAGCTGACTGGCAGGTCAGAACACACAAGTAATGGGATCATGGTCCCTGGAGGCCTCTTCCTGACTGATTCAGGATTCTGATTTCCATAGGAAATGTGAGGAAAATAAGATACTTTTATAACAAGCAAGAGACAGAAAGGTTGGCCCCTAGGCATTTTGATGCTGTTAACAACCAGCACAGCCTGTGGCAGCAGTGCTGTCTCCTGGGGCAGCCTGTGAGGAGGAAATGTTCCCTCCGCCCTGTCCAGTGCAATGAGCCCCGTGCAGTCGCCACTGGCCACCTCTGCTTACTGACCTCTTGAAATGTGGCTGTTGTGCTGAGGTACTGGATTTTGCTTCATTTGAATTTGTTTAAATACTTCCATTACCTCGCTTCCATTCCAAATCCTTCCATTCCTGGCTCCTCTGCAGGCCAGGCTGCTTCTTAAAGTGCACGAGTGCAAGAACAGTTAGCATGAGAGAGCAGTCTCTTGCGTCCTCTTCGGTCTCAGCCATTTGTGCGTTTGGTTTTCTCTAATGAGATTTGGAAACGTGGCCAAACTGCAGGGAAGAGCAGTTAGGAAGGATGGAGATATCTGACGGCGAGTTCCTGTCTCGCTGTGGTCAGTGGGGATGAGAGTCACATGACAGAAGGAGGACTCGCCCCCCTGGGCTCCCCGTGGGTCATCTGAGGGGAAAAAATCAAAGTGTATTTAATGTCCTCGTAAACACAGCTTGGGCTTTGAACTGAAATGTTGTGTATGTTTGTGTGCAAGAGTCATCTCTGTGTTTCCATTTAGCATCGAGTTCCCAAAGAGTACCACTCACGAGGGCCAAGAGTAAACCTGACCTTCCGGACGGTTTATCCAGACCCCAGGAGGGCGCCCTGGTGAGGTGAGACCCCAGAGAGACAGCTCAACCGAGATGAACAGACTACCGCCACTGCCATCTCCGAGGACCTCTGGGCTCCGGGGGGTGGGGGAAGATACTGGGAATATGTTTCCTGGGGTTGGTAATCCCTAATCACATCTCAAAATCTATTTGTATTGTTGTGATTACATGCCATCGAGTTGCTTGTGACTCATAGCGACCCTGTGTACAACAGCTCTATCCTGAGTCAGTTTCATTGTCTGCGGCACACTACCCCCATTTCCTTAGTCACTGACTCAATCCATCTCATCCAGGGTCGTCTTCTCCTGTGCTGTCCCTCCATCTTTCCAATCATCATGTCCCACTCCAAGGACTGGTGTCTTCTGGCAACATGCCCGAAATATGTCAGCCGGAGCTTCAGATTCCTTGCCTCCAAGGAGCAGCCTGGCTTCACCTTCTCCAGGACAAACCTGTTTGTCCTCTTAGCAATGCATGATATGCTCAGTACTCTTCCTTCCCAGCACCACAGTTCAAAGTCTTCGATTCTTCTGCCATCCTTAGTCACTGTCCAGCTCTTAGCAAATTAAAACTCTTTGTGGTGGTTCTGGCGGCTGCTGTTGTGTGCAGCACACCCCCTCCCCACCCTCCCCTTTGAATGGCTGTGACTCTGGGGAACATCTGCACGTGTTTGCTCCTTGTGACTTGGGTGAAGTGGAGAGAGAAATATGCGTCAGAGACCTTGGAGCCTTCCGTAGGCAGACAGCTGCTGAAACCCAAACAGAGGTGTTTCCGCAGAGCTCTGTGGAAGTCTGCCTTGAGTCCTCAGCACCTTGACATGGACACCAGAAGATGGGAAGCAGCATACTCTGAGCTCAAGAGAGACCTACAAAGACAGGTCCCAGGGCCTCTGAATAAAGGATGAAGGCCGATCCTTCCAGGCAGGCCTCCGATGACTCGGGAGACAAGAGATCACTGCCCCCTTCCAGGGAGGAGTAGAATGATGTCATGGGAAATAACAGGCTTAAATTGAGGCTGAAGAGCACCAATACCCTGCTTGTGACAGCTGTTCCACATAGATTAGTTTCCCCTAGAGAGTTACTTGAGTCACTTGAACCCACGCCAGATAGAAGCAGGAGCAGTCCTGTAGGGAGTAGACTCAATTACCTAACAGTCCTCTTCCACCTTAGATTTCAGTAGCCCTGTGTGTGACTAACGCTCACTTCTGACTCAGTGTTCGCTTATATCCAATTTCCCGAGATACAGGGGTCAGTCCATGATGTCAGCGGCATTCCCAAAACAGAACAGAGTGGCTGCCCCTGATTGCATCACAAAAGCACGTGTCTTCTTGACCTCCTGGTTGAGGAGCAGTATGTCAGATGAATTCCCAAACAAGATGAGGAAAACCAGAGAGGAAGGAGGCAAGTTGAAATGTGTGAGGATGGGGCAGGAGACGTAAGAGTTTCGCTAGCTGCCTTGGGGAAGATTTGCAGGGTCAAGTCTTGCTCTTAACGCTGTTTCCATTCCGTGCTGTGAGACTGCTGATCGCCAGGACCGTGGGAGAGTGCCAAAGGCTGGGAGAGCGCTTCCCCAGGCCAGGATGTCACGCCGGCCCAGCCAGGCCGCTAGCTGAGAAGCACCCAGCCTTTTTGTAGCCATCATTCTTAACACTGTGGCGTGCATGCAGCTTCTCTCTATAAGTAATAAAGGCTTTATAAAATCTACCCATTCTTCTACATCTGCCTCTGAGGGCTGGAAAGAAAATAAAAATGGCATTAAATTCTCCTCTGAAAACAAACAAAAGCTGGCCAGGGAAGTGCCACCAGCTGTGGTAATGAGTTTGCTGCACGACACGGGGATGTGTCTTTGCTGTTCCTACAAATGATGAAGCAGCCCCAAGGGGCCCACGTCTGCCAGCGTCCCTCCTGACGTGGGCCTGGTCTCCCCTCACCCCGCCTACAGATTTTATCTCCACACCCCTCACTGCTGGCCGCCTCTGGCAGGAGTCTGACCAGCTCTCCAGTCCAGAGCACAGATCTCAGGTCTCAGGTTCTGCTGCGTCTGTCACCATGGACACCATCTGCCGGCACCACCATTTCCCCGCCACTGAGATCCACCCCTTCTGATGGGTTAGGCAGGTGCCTGGCCGGGTTCTGGGAGCAGACACGACTTCCAGCGCCTGGCAGGTGAGCAGTGTGTGCATTGCCTGCACACCGGGGAGGCGCTGAGCCTGAGGATTGAACCACTCTTGTCACCACCACTTGTGTTTGGTTTGGTGGGTTGTTGTGGGTTTTTTTTTTCTCGTTCTTTTTATAAAAAATTTCTTTTAATGAAAGTTTACATTCATTGTTGCACTTTCCTCCCTGCCCACCCCTCCCCCCAGTTAGCTTTTCTCTTTGAAAAGCAAAAAAAATAATTATTTCATTGTTATACAATCCAACACACACACACACACACACACACACACACACACACACATCCCCTCCCCTCCCCCACAGTCCACTCCACTATGCAGCTTTCATTCAGGATTCTTGTAAATCAGAGTGAAGCTAGGCATTCACTGTCCCCTGGCCTTTTTCTGCCTAATCCTGTCTTCTTCACCTCACCCCTGCAAGGGCTTCCTCTCCCCGTTGTAGGAAACTGAGTCTGTAGAGTTGAAGCTGTCTGACAGGACTAGGAAGCAGCAGACCGTTCAGACCCAGCTCTGCTCCCTGAATCTGCATGCTTTGCCTCTGCCATGTGGAGTTCAGGTGGGATTGTTGGCAGGCACCTCGGGGGTCCTGACTAGGGGGGGGGGCCTCCTGCAGGGCTGAGAGCTCACCTCACACCCTCCTGCCACAGCTGGGCGGGATGCCTCTTCTCGTCCTTGGCTTTCCAGTGCATCCAGCAGGCATCCTCTTTCCATAATCAGCACTGGAATCTCCTTTCAGGAGCTCTGATGGCTTAGTGAAAAGGAACTGCACTGCCAATCCAAAGGCACATAGTTCAAATCCACCAGCAGCTCCTAGGGAGAAAGGTGATCAGTCTCCTACTATGCAGTTTACTGCTTCTGAAAATTAATTGGAGGGTTAGCTCTGAGTGGTTCCGACTAGATGGTACACACATCAGGGCAAAGATGGGCAATCTCCCCTGCTGTTATAGCCTCAGAAACCCAGCGGAGGCCCCTAAGAGGCAGTCAAGAAGGTGTTTTAAGGGTTAGAACTACATTACTAGCTTGGCTAGTAATTGACCATATTACTAGGGAAGCTCAGTTCTGGGGGGTTGAATCTGATTTCTGGTGAGTTTAGACAAATTCTCAGCCACCCTTCCTGAGTCAAGTGAGTCAGACAGCATGACCTGATAGAATCCCAGCAGACACCGGGAGACGTTCAGAGGTAGGTGAGTTTCCCCCCATGACTGCTTTGGGGTGTCCCTCTCCTCATTAGTACATCAGGGGAGTCTGGGTGACACCCACATTCAGACCCCGGCTGCTTCGTGAATTACCAATGCAGGACTCTCCCTGGAGGTCCCAGCTCAGCAAGACAGGCCATGGCCACTTGACACCCCTTGACAGCAGCCAGCCTGCTCCAGAGCCGGGTCGGGGAAGAGGAATGTGACATGAACGGCAGTGTTGTTTCCACCGGGACTGCCCCCCAGTGTGAAGCGGGGACCACATTGATCCAGCCAGCACGAAATTGCTTAGTCAGGTGCCACAACGGTTCCTCGTGAATGGGTCACAGCTAAAACCCTGCCACTGCCTTGTGGCTCTTGCCCTCTTACCCAGCAGGTCTGTGCAGGTGGGTTGGGGGACTGGCATGTCTGTTGGGTTGCACCGTGGCAACTCTGGGTGGAGGAGTTGGCCGCTGCAGCCAGCAGGCCGCTCCTGGAGGTTCTCAGAGCCGCTCCGGACAGATGAGCGTCGCTGCCCGGCTGGGAATGTTTCTCCCCTGCGTCTGGCAGCCTGGACTTGGCTGCAGAGAATATCGAGGACCATTTTGCCTTTTCTGGTCATGAGCACTTGTAAGTGCAGAACCTCGTCCTGACTATTTTTCTTCCAGTGCCTTTGAAAAAGCCACATGTTTCCACAGTGATGCATTCTGTTTGTGTGAACCCTGACTTCACAGGCTTCTCCAGGGGGACCTTCATCTGCCCCCTTCCTCATTCCCTCTCCCCCCCATTCGTCTCTTCTGGAAGGAACTTTCATGTGAGACCCTGGCCGAGTTCTGCCGCTGGAATTCACTTGTAGATGGAGCACTGCGTCAGGGGATGCAGATGACTTTGGGGCTTGTTTATCAGGATGGAACAAACCAAAGATGCCTTTAAAAGCTGCTTCGGAATTCTGATATAGTTTAAGAGCCGGAGAAGAGGACCCCACAGGGGCTGCTGGGTTATTGTCAGTGTTAACCTGGGGTGGGTGGGGATTGTGGGGGGGTGTGACTGCAGTGTAGGAGAAGCCCCCACTACCCAAAAGAGTGTTTTCAAAGAAACAGACTTGGACTGGGCACCAATCTGTGACACCAGGGGTGCACTTACTTCGGTGCAATGACCCGTCCTCCTTGTAAAGGAGCTGCCACACCCTCGCTCCAAGGACAGTCTTGACCTCTGGTACCACGACTGTAACTGTGGACAGAGATTGGAAGTGGAAGAAAAGAGAGAAGTCTCACACAGTTTATACTGTATTCTGCTGGGACTGTTAGGGCTCCGATCTCATTTATTGCCAAAAGGTTTTGTATTTTAAAAAAGCAAATGAAGCAACGGGGTACCCAGAGAATTTTACAGATCTTTTTATAAAAAAGGATCACTCGTGTAGTCTCTGTATCCTCATCTCCTCCCCCGCAGCCAGCATGTGGGTTGACCGGGGTGAGGGACACAGGGGAGCTAAGAGGTTGGGGGGCTGGGAAAGGTCCCTTTGCCAGGCAGCAGCGTAGACACTGGGCCTTGCGGGCTGGGGAAGCCTGGGCAGAAGCTCGTCAGGAGCCAGAAGCGGTGGGCCGAGCACGAGCGCGGGTGATGGAGATGCAATTAGCCGCCCACCGCAGGAAGGGCGTGGGTGCGGTGACAAGCGCGTGCTGGCGCCGGCGATGCTCCTGCTGCCCGGGGCCCTGGAACGTGCACCGGAGAGCTGCGGCCTCCGCGGCTGGAGCTGGCTGAGCCGCCCTGCGGCTGTTGGCAAGTCTGCAGGCAGGCGGCCCTGGCCGAGCTCTGCACGCTGCCCACCAGCCCCGGTGTGGATGGGACCACGAGGACGAGGGCGTGAATCCACACCCTTCAGTGAATGAAAGAATGCGGGCTGAGTGATGGGATGAGGGATGCTGAAGGATGAGGGTGAGGAGCTTCACAAATTTAGGACCAGGACCACCCGGGCAGAATTCGAAAATAGGAGAGCTCACAAAAGCTGTCTGTCTGCTTGTCCTTGATCCCTTGGTGGTTTGGAGAAAACATTGTTGCAATGTTTCCCCGCAGAGAAAGTATAAAGTGTCAGCTGGTGATTTCCCAGCAGGCCTGCTTTCAACACCCTTTACCACACACCTGGAGGGAGGGACAGGATGGGAGACAGGCCAGAGGGGGCAAAGGAGGGTGCTGCCTCCACATCACCTCTAATTAAGTAGCTGCCACACAACAGGGCAAGCCAGTGGCCCTTGTGCTCTGACTCCCTTTGTGTCCCCAAAGCCCTGTGGGTGGATATTTTAGGGACTGCCCTCTCTATTGCAGGAATATAGAAGAGGAAACTGGGGTCACAAGGGGTTGTTGGAGAGAGGCAAAAGTGACCTGCAGAGGACATCCTGAAGGCCAGGCCACAGATGACCATGCTCCTGGTGACAAGGCTGGGCTGTCTCCTGGAACAGCTGTCACAGAGTAAGACTGGCTGCCTGTGCTGGCCCCAGGCCGGTGGCTCAGTCCTGGGCAGGGCTCCGGTCAACAGCAGCGCCATCCTGCTGTAAACAGCACTGTCCCAGCTCTGCACCACGCAGAGGGGGGTCAGCTGGGTAAATCCAAGCAAGGCTAGGCCTAGACTCACCTTTGGGAGAGGGGCTGATCCCCTAGGATCACCTGCAGTGGGCCAATGAGGAGGTAGTTATGACCCCTCCCAAGCCTCCACATCTGTCAGAATTGAAGCCACAGCCCTTATGAGGGGAGCATAGGGGACTCAGCTTAAATCCTAGCCCTGCCCAGCTAAGTCACCTGAAACTGGTCAAGCTGAGCCTCACTTTCCGAGCTGTTAAACAACCACCTGGAGGCATGAGATAATCCCTGTATTGTGTCTGCCAGGAAAGTGTTTAGGAGTGTGTCTGGCTTAAAGGGGGGGTTTGACATACTCTCCTAACCCCACCCTCTGCCCTCCACTGCTGAGTGGGCGGACCCCTCTCCCCAGTGGCCCTGGGTTCTGCTGACCCCTTTGCAGGCTCCCAGGTGTCTGAGCCCCTGGTGTGGGTTCAGCAGAGGGAGGCTCACAGGCTTTCAGGAGGGAGGATGGTGAAAATGAAAATGCTGCACGAGCAATCACATTAAGATCAGTGCACTTAAGCCTCTCCCGGGAGGTCCTTTAGATGAAGCCAAAGAGCTCCCAGATGCCAAAGTGGCTCTGAGCCGACGCCCTGTTCTCTCTGGGCAGCCCCACCACATGCTCCCCAGGTAATTGCATCTCTAATATCTCATCCCCTAATTCTTGATGTGTCCCAGATGGGCCAGCGGGTCAGTGACCAGGCCCTTGCCGGTCTACTTTGCTCGCTTATTCTTGCAGGCTGTTTGTCAGTTTCAGTACAGAACGCCTTGGCCTGGAAGATTAAACAAGATTAACAGGCTGGAATTCTGCTCACTTCTGACTGAGGCTTTTGTGCCCTGAGATTATGTGTTGCAAGGGGAGGGGGGATGGGGGAGTATTGGAGAGAACGTAAAAGGACGCATGGTCCCTCTCGTTGCTGGGAAGGAAAGCCACGTGGCTCTTATTTTCTCTCTATTCATTTTGGGTTGTTGGGGTTTTTTTCTCATTATAGGAGGAATACATACTTTTTTATAAGAAATTAAGAAGATAAATGAAAAGAAAAATCACCAGTAATTTTACAACCAGAGATGACAACATATATCTCTATTTCTCCACTTGTTTGTAGGCTTTCAAAATACCAGAAAGAAAACCATACTGTACCTTTCCCCACTGATTGTGTTTGTTATTGTTGCTGCTGTGTGTCATAGCTGACCCTCCAGCAGGTTTTGAGAGCAGGGGAGGAGATTGCCCATCCTTCTCCCTCTGAGCAACTGGTGCATTCGAACTGTGTGCCTTTGGGACTACAGAGCAGCTTCTTACCACCAGCCCCCTAGAGCTCCCTTATTGTGTGTGCAGGGGCTTGGCACTCACTTTTGTCCTGTAAACTAATGTAAGTGGCCCCCCAGTTCTGCACTGTTACTGTGCTTTTATTTAACCCTCCCCTCAGCCCCTTTGTGGTTGAACTCATGCTGACCTGCAGAACTGCCCTGAGCATTTCCTCAGCCAGAAATCTTCACAAGAAGGAGGCCTGGTGGTGAAGAGGTTAGAGGACTTAGCTGTTAGCTGCGAGCTCCGTGGTTCTCACTCACTCGCTGCTGCACGGGAGGAAGCCTGGCACTGCGTTTCCATGAAACTTAAGCCATGGAAACCCTGTGGTGCAGTTCTGCTCTGGCCTGTTCTGTGGCTCTGCCGCGAGGCTTGGCAGCAGGAGGAGTGGGTTTTAGGGTCTTTACAAAGTTCTGAAGAGCAATGGTGTCTCTCTGGAGACTAAGGTGTGTCTGATACAGGCCGTGGTCTTTGCAATCACTTATTATGCATCAGAGAGTTGTCAGAGGACAATTACTAGGGAGGCCAGAAGGAGAATTGATGCCTTTGAGCTGTGGTGCTGGAGAAGAGTATCGAGGGTACCATGGACTGCCAAGAAAACGAAGATTCATCCTGGAGAGGGTTACACCAGGCGGCTCCTTGGAGGCAAGGATTCTGGGGCTCCGTCTGACATACTTTGGACATGTTGTCAGGAGGGACTGGTCCTTGGAGGGGGACATCATGCTTAGTAGGGTGGAGGGACAGCACAGGAGGGGAAGGCCCTCTATGAGGTGGATTGATTCAGTGATTGGGGTAATCGGGATGGGTGTGTCAGAGACAGTGCGATCGGCACAGGACAGAGCAGAGTTTAGAGCTGTTGTACGTAGGGTCGCTATGAATCGCAAGCGACTTGACGGCACATAACAACAACATCAACACAGGAGCAGACAAGCAGGACTTTCTCCGATGGAACCACCAGTGCTGTTAGGTAACTTCGAGTCGATTACAACTCACAGCAACCCACGAACAGTAAATCTGAGCCTGTCCTGCAGCCACTGTATTAATCAAGGCTGAGCATCTTTCTCTCCTTCTCCGACCCTCTGTCTTTTCCAACCTGTCGTTTCCCCCCAAGGTCTGGCCCCTCCTGACAACATGCCTGAAGCTTGCACCAGCCTTGCCTCCCAGCAGCATCCTGAATGCACTTCCTCCAAGGCCTCCTGTGCCCTTATGGCAGTCTGTGGGATTTTCAGCATTCTTCTCCCACCCCCATTCATCTTCTGTCATCCTTATTCATTGTCCAACTTTTAGATGCATAGAAGACTATGTCTTGGATCAGGTGCACCTTCATTTTTTAAATTAATTTTAATGAAAGTTTATAGAGACTTAGAGTTTCCAGTCATTCATCGTTGCACTTTTCTCCTTACCCACCCTCTCCCCCCAATTCACTCTTCTCCTTGAAAAGTAAAAGAAAACCTCTCTCATTGTTATGCAATCCCTCCCTCCAAGTCCACTCCACTGTGCAGCCTTCACTCTGGATTTTTGTAACAACAAGAATACCCATTCTTATATCCCTTTTAAACAGTTCTCTTCCTCATCTGTTTCAATGCAGTATACATCATTCCTCCCCTCCTTTTGTCTTCCCTAAACCCCAATGTCAGTCTCATTTTACAACAGTGGCCCTATGCAGTATTTGTCCTCTTGTGACTGAGATATTTCATTCAGCATAATGTCCTCCATTGGACAAATGGGTCACCCATTTTGCATAATGTTTCATGAGTTCCTTGTTTTTTCAGTGTTGCATATTATTCCAGAGCTTCTCTCTCCATTCATTTGTTGATGAGCACTTGGGTTGTTTCCAGCTCTTTGCTATTGTGAACAAAGCTGCAATAAACATGGATGTGCATATATCTGCGTGGGTGGCAGTTATGGTTTCTTTAGGGTATATTTCCAGTTGTGGAATTGCTGGGTCAAATGGTATTTCTATTTGCAACTTTTTGAGAAAGCGCCATACCGCTTTCCACAGTAGTTTCATCATTTTACATTCCCACCAACAGTGAATAAGAGTTTCAGCTTCTCCACAACCTCTGCAAGCATTTGATGTTTGCTGTTCTGCTAAATTTTGCTATTCTTAGTGGGGTGAGATGATATCTCATAGTTGTTTTATGCACTTTAATTTTTACACTAACATTGCTACTCCTTATAACTTTGGAGATGTCCTCAACAGCAGATTTTCCCAATGAAACATGGCTTTTGATGTTCTCACCCCACTAGTAGGTTTGAACTGTCAGCATTCGGTTTTCTAGTCAACCACTTAGCCCCTGCACCTTGAGGGATATTTACCAGTCCCCTAGTGTCGAATACTAAGATTACTTTTGAAATTGACAATGATTTTGGAAGTCACAGGCCGGGCTGGTGGGAGTCAAGGGGATGTCAGAGAGGAGAGCCTAGGCTTGTACCACATTCAGACCTCAATTCAAACAATCCAAAGAGCAGCTATAATTTACACAGCCTGCCTCTGGGCCAGGCACTGTGTTAAGTGCTTGACGTGTATTAACTCTGGACTCATTAAGCCTCACAACAGCCTAGGAGCAAGGCACTATTTTTATACTCATTTTACAAGTGAAGAGATGGAGGCTCAGCTGCCCCGCCCCCTCACCCCCCCCTTATCAGCAGCTGTTAGAGGCAAAACCTTAGTGCACGTTTGTGATGGTTCCTTCGAATCGATTCCTGAGTGGGGTTGCTCGCTCTGAGGACAGCTGTGCATCTCTTTAAGGCTTTGAATACATAATGTAAATGGCTTTCCAGAAAGCTTGCACCAGCTTGCCCTCCTGCCAGTGGGCCTGGAGCGTATCTGAGAGGCTGGCTCCGGGCACAGCGTGCC